CCATGACACACATACTATTAGAATAAGGCATGACTGTCGTCTGTGCTTCTTAAGAAATCCAACCCAAGGATGGCTTGAAAGTCATCCATGGGTACTGTGGTGAAATCTACTCTTCATTCCCAAGTGCTGACCTTCAAATGAACAGATTTTGCAACCCCATAGATAGGTTGCGCTGCCAAGTTAACCACCTTGATGCGGCTGCCATCCTTCTCTAAAGATAGCCCAAGTCTTTCAACTTCAGTCCCCGCAACAAAGTTGTGGGTGGCCCCGATGTCAATCAAAGCACGGAGGGGCTTCCTATTGAGTTTTACATCGACAAACATCAAACCTTTGTTGGATGACTTGCTCTTGTTCAACTTGTCAGATGATTCCCCACTATACATGGGTTTCTTCCCTTTGCCTTCATCTTAAAACTCCACAAGTTGTTTAGGATTTGAATGTTTGCCCACTTTGTCACTCTTGGCATTCTTCTTAGGCCTCCTTGTAGAAGCCTTTTTCTCCAAGGCATTCATCATATGAGAGGCTCCCACTCTAGAGCCAGCTACCTTAGAACCCTTGCCACTTCGCCTTGACTACACGTCTTCTTCCTCGCTATCATCATCACTTGGTTGAGAGACATGGTTAGACACTACTGCAAGAGCATTCAAGGCACGCTTTTGTGGACATTCAGATAACCGATATGGCCCATTACATAAGAAACAAGAGATAGGGCCTTTTGATTTGCTTGTAGAAAGTTGTTGAGGGGCTTTTGCCTTGTCACCATAGATCTTCTGTTGCCATTGTCCTCCACTCGAATGGGTTTTGGATGTAGAAGTGTTGGCTCCCCCACTCTTAGGTTTGCCATAGCCTTGGGACTTTCCACCTCCCATAACATCTGCAAATTGCTTTAACACCTTCTTGATTGCGGCTGGGACAGGAGTAGATTCAAGAGCTTCATTCAACTTCAACGCAGCAACCCAAGTTTGTTCACCATGCCTAACACCCCTCTTGGGTTGCATAGCTAAGACAAACCGATCACTGTTGTTGGTGGCTATAGTAGGAATAAGACATGGCTTGTCCCCTATGACACACATACTATTAGATAAGGCATGACTGCCGTCTGTGCTTCTCAAGAAATCCAACCCAAGGATGGATTAAAAGTCATCCATGGGTACTGTGGTGAAATCTACTCTTCATTCCCAAGTGCTGACCTTCAAATGAACAGATTTTGTAACCCCGTAGATAGGTTGCGCTGCCAAGTTAACCACCTTGATGCGGCTGCCATCCTTCTCTAAAGATAGCCCAAGTCTTTCAACTTCAGTCCCCGCAACAAAGTTATGGGTGGCCCCGGTGTCAATCAAAGCACGGAGGGGCTTCCCATTGAGTTTTACATCGACAAACATCAAACCTTTGTTGGATGACTTGCTCTTGTTCAACTTGTCAGATGATTCCCCACTATACATGGGTTTCTTCCCTTTGCCTTCATCTTAAAAATCCACAAGTTGTTTAGGATTTGAATGTTTGCCCACTTTGCCACTCTTGGCATTCTTCTTAGGCCTCCTTGTAGAAGCCTTCTTCTCTAAGGCATTCATCATATGAAAGGCTCCCACTCTAGAGCTAGCTACCTTAGAACCCTTGCCACTTCGCCTTGACTACACGTCTTCTTCCTCGCTATCATCATCACTTGGTTGAGAGACATGGTCAGACACTACTGCAAGAGCATTCAAGGCACGCTTTTGTGGACATTCAGATAACCGATATGGCCCATTACATAAGAAACAAGAGATAGGGCCTTTTGATTTGCTTGTAGAAAGTTGTTGAGGGGCTTTTGCCTTGTCACCATAGATCTTCTGTTGCCATTGTCCTCCACTCGAATGGGTTTTGGATGTAGAAGTGTTGGCTCCCCCACTCTTAGGTTTGCCATAGCCTTGGGACTTTCCACCTCCCCTACTCTTGCGCGGGGAACTACTACCTCGTTGCTTAGGTTCGGCGTAGTCCATATGGCATTCAGCTGTTGCTTGTGCACGGGTTAAATCTTGCACTTTTTGCCTTTGAAGTTCAACTCTGCCCATGGCTTCAATCCCTCAAGAAAGAAGAAGAACTTGTCTTTCTCTGACATATCTTTGATGTCTAACATAAGCCCAGAGAATTGTTTCACATAATCTCTTATAGTGCCGGTGTGCTTGAGATCCCGCAAAGCGCACCGGGCATTATACTCAACATTTTCAGGGAAGAATTGGAGCTTAAGTTCATGCTTAAGTTGCTCCCAAGTCTCAATTGTGCATAAGTCGCGTTGCATCTCATCATGTTTAGTCCAACTTGGCATCACCGGACAAATATATTATAGCCATAGAAATCCTTGTCTCCTCAGCATCGGCTTTCACAGCTTTGAAATATTGCTCCATATCAAAAAGAAAGTTGTCTAACTCCTTGAATCTCGGGCGCCACCGTAGGCACGGGGCTCGGGCACACGCGTCCTAGTGAATTCCATGCCACCACTAGGTGCATTGCCAAAAGCACGGGTAAGAACACCAACCCGGCCACTGAGGTCTTCAATCTCTAGCCTGAGTTTAGTGACAACATCCTCAAAATCTTACCCTTGAGTAGGGCCATGAGTTTGCTCAAGATCATAAACCCATTGCTCAAGGGTGGCTAATGAAGCTGCCATTGTCTCCATGTTGTCCATACGCTGCTCCAAGAACTCAATTTTCTCCCTTTGCGTGGGTTGACGGTTGCCAGTAACATCCATTTAGAAAGCCAATAATAGAGAAGGCCAAATAGACTGGGCTCTGATACCATCTGACACACACCGGCAATGCGGAAGCCTTAACAAAGATATGCAAGTGTGTGTGGCACTAGTTAACTCTCTTCACTAGCCCGCCAATAATGCTCAAAAGGTTTGCAAAGACAAGCAAACACAATATTAGTTGAGTTGATGAGCCACAAGATTGGAGACAAGCCACAAAATAGCAATCAATAAGCTAAAATTGAAGTAAACAACAATTGAAAGGCTTTGCACAATTTAAAGGCGAAATGAACTTTTCATTACTCAAAAGTAAGGCATTACAATAGTTGAACAATGCACTAAAAGTGCTACAAAAGTTGCCTTACTATAAGCTAAGTTAGGGTACACTAAAGGCACAAGTGGTTTGGTTCAACACTTGGGTACCCCCTCCTTAATATAGCTTGTTAAGCCTTTTCCTAGCTAGCAAGAGGAAACATCCACTATGTTTGAGGAGTCATAATGGATTTTTAAAAATTATACAAAAAGAGAAAAATTACAACTCTTGGTCCCAAAACACCTTTGATACTAAGGTATTTACATAAAAATTTACAAGACGAAAAGATTACATTTGACCCTCTAAAAGTTGGCCCAAAGTTGATACTTGGTGGTTAGGTTGCTTCATGGCATGTCTTGGACTACCTTGTACTATGCCTTGGGCCTTTGCTTGCACTTGCACCAACAGCTTCTTAAGTATATCTTTGGCTCTCCAAAGGGCACAAATGTGTGTGGCATCAAGGTGTTGACCCTCGGATAGGCGCACCTTGACACCAGGCCAGGTCGCCTCCTAAGTTCCTTTTTGTTATGTCTTCTAATTTTAATTTTCATTATTCTGTATGCCTTCTAGGAGTCCACACTCCAACTTCGTTTGACAGTGAATATAATTTTCATAACATAAGCACCGTCATCACATAACCTTGTATTATCTCCTCTACTATTTGTGATGAGCTGTATGCACGCTACAAAGGTGGAATAAAATTTATTCTAGGATGAGGGAGGAAAAGAACCTTGAATTGAGGAGAGAAATTAAAAGCATGTTTTGAAAGAGAGCATGAAATTGGTAGAGCAGAACATGATATGACTATGAAAGAAGAAAGCATTAATTGAAGAAGAAGAGAGAAAATGGAAAACTAAATTTGGAGTTCATACATGCTTTTCTCATACAACTTGATTACAGTCCCAAAAATTTCTTCCCTTTTTCCCCTCTCAACCGTAGTTATATACATCCAATACTAACTAACTAACAAACCTCCTAACCACTAACTAACCTGCCAACAATCAAACAACTAACTAAATCCAAAACTAACCCCCAACAATCAAACAACTAACTGAATCCAAACTGAATCCAAAACTTCTAAATCATAACAGAACAGAGCGGGCATGCAATGGAGACCTTGAGGTAACCATGGTTTATCCTATATAAGTGTTGCCATCTTAATGATTAACATCCCATAGCAACCAACCCCCACCCCACCCACACAGCTCTAAGTGCCCAGGTCTAGACAAAGTGCTATGATTCAGTTGACACATGAAATGATATCCAAGTCTCACTTCAACGACTTTAATCCTCTTGTGGTTAGTCTTAAGCCGAGATAGTCGATGCATAAAACAAACACAATTTAGGGATTATTCGAGATTGATTATATAAGTGTATTTTTTGACTTTTTAGGTACCAAAAAAAAAAAAAAAAAAGTGAAGGAAAAAAAGATAATTATTTAAGATAATTTTTTGACTTTTTACGAAAAAAATGTGTATTAAAATATTGTATAAAATAGCAAAATTATTTTTTTACTCCTATGCATACTAACTTGCAATCCGTGCATGTTGGTACGGTTGTGGCAGAGCTGTCTGTACTGGTTTTGTTGGAAAAAAAAAGTTTTTTTTCTTTTTTTGTTTTCCAGCCATAATCTGCACTTGAGTACAAAGTTTTGAAAAGTTTGTTTGTTTGTTTTTTTTTTTTTAATCTCTCAGACATATAAAAAATTGCTTTTTTTAGTTTTTTTTCCTTTTGTTCCCATGATGTCTAATGAGCCTATGCTTATGCCTAGTGAATCTATTTTTTCCGCCCCTTTTGTGAATAGTGTTAACTTTTTTATTTTTTTAATAACTCTTTTACTTTGTCTTTTATAGAGTATCCCAAATAAACGCTTTATCTCGATCCGAGTATTTAATTTTCCAGGACTTGAATTTCATGTTAGATGTAACTAATGTAACTTACATATCAACACACAGGCACACATGGAGAACGAGAAGGACCAATTACAAATAATTAGCATTTTTTTACATGAATGAACATGAGTAATACATATGTACAGATTCAAAAGATGAGTCACATGAATTTCAGAATGGAAAGCAGGTTATTATGAAAAGGATCCAAGATGTGGTCAAGAAGGTTTTGCACAGGCCCTTTCCCCGTTAGGGCAGCTTGCGTGTAAAATCCTAACCATGCAATCATTGCTAAGCGCCCATTTTTTATCTCTTTCACCTTCAAGTCCTCAAAAGATACCGGGTCTTTAGAGAGATTCAAGGGATCGAAAAGTGCACCTCCAGGATAATTGATATCCCCAGGCAAGTAAATTCCTAAAGGCTCGAGAGCCTCAATGCCACAATATCTTGCATATTCCGGTCCAACCTATGCACAAGCAACAAGAGGCTTCATAACCCAGAAATACTAATGGGGCAAACACAAAATGAACTTTTCATGTAATTTCTGATCACTTCGCTTTTTAACTTAAACAATCACTATATGATAAACTATTTCAATGCACGTAACAAGCAATCATAAGTAATTAGAAAATCCTTCTCATCTCTGTATATGTTTTCCCCCAAAACACAGAGAACCTAGATTACAAATGAAAGATGAAGTTATGCAGGATCATGTCTTAATTATTATTCATAATAGCACAAGTCAATAAAAGTGATGCCTTCAAAAGTCAGCAGTAGAATGAATGTTCAACATTGCCCATCTGAACACCAAAAATACATAAACAAAATGGTGTTTCCTGGATGACTTCTGTAACCAAAGCCCCCAAAAGGTGTTACTTCAAACATCTTGCATCTCACTTTCAAGAAAAAAACTATACCTACTAGAACTCTTTCGAGAAGAAGGAAATCAATTTTGAAATTATTGGAGACACCTATTTGCACCATAAATTATTTTCTATTAATTGTGGCCTGTCGAATGTGGCCAAATTTAGTTTTGTTGATTGTAGCCTGTTAGTCATGGCCAAATCTAATCTCATTGATTGTGGCCTGTCGATTTTGGTCTGCCAATTCAGACTATGACTATCTTTAAAGATTTACTATGGACATATTATTATTATTATTATTATTGTTATGCTTTGTGCAGGAGGCATGGAAAGTGGTTTAAGGAAGTTGTGAAAATAAGGCAATGTGGCTGTCATATTGAGTGAGGGAAGTAACTTCTCAGCATGTTTGTGGCAATGTGGCTTTAGAGGAAGAAACTGCCTAGAGCAGTTCTTGAAGGAAACCGCGGGTGAAGCCTATAAATAGGCAAAGAAGAGATGATCAAAGGACGTCAACAAATCATCAAACTCATTAGAGCTTTTTTTTTTTCTTTATCTTTAGGAGTAGTCTACCTTAATTCTTAGGAGTAGATTATCATAACTTTTAGGAGTAGCTTTTACCTTGTAATTCAACCATTTGTAACCTTGTAAACTTGTAAGATTTCAATAGAAGTTTTTTTGTGTTTACTTCACTCTTTCGATCGTTGATTGTTCCAAAGAAATACTTATACTTTTAAGGCATTAGAACCTTTACACAATCATCTGATATTTTGTTTGGTTGTTTGGTTAAAACTTTTGTTTTTTTCCTGTCGAATGGGGAGAAACAGAATTTTTACTAACAACACCTCAATGAAAGTTTTTATGACACTGATTCCAAAAACACCAACGCCCTAATATTGTTTGGATTTGAATTTGGGTAAGAATTTGGCAAGAAAAAGGAGAAGCCTAGGAAAATGGAAGAAAAAATTTAGCTTATATGTCATTCACATTTCCTTCACATTTTCCTTTTCCTTTCCCTTTCCAAATCCCCACCCAATTCCAAACACAGCCTAAGTGTTTTCCCTAGTTTATAATATTTGGATGAAAGCAGGTTCCTTGATGTTTTAATAACATTTACATTAAAATTCCTTCACTTGAGCTCCTTCATACATTTTTTACAATTCTTTCTGTGCAGTTTGACATATCTATTAATCTAAATATTCTTTTGGTATCATATGCCCAATCAACCCCAAACTACTCCCTTGAATAAGTTTTACCTCACTTTGGTATTGATTTCTAATTCCACCTCCCATGATGCCTTCCGTTTCTGTTTCCCAGCCAGTAGCTTGGAGAACACTCATTCCCTACTTATTCTTGTCTAAATTAGAAGAGTGCCCTATCATTTGGGAGACCCAAAAGTGTAGGATGCCCACAAATTTGTTCACACCTGATTTTCAGTAACAATGTTATCAAACATTTGAATCTGAAATCATGCTTCCGAGATGTAAGATTTGGGATATAATTTCAGTCAGGACCTTCAATGGTCACACCAAACCCCTAAACTACAGAGACAGGAATGAATGATGATAGTATTCACAAACACATTTGATTTAGAAATAGTAAACAAAATCAAAATTGAGTTGGTACCATCAGAAGAGCTTGGCAGATAGCTATAACAATCACTCCTTGACTTCCAGCTAAGTGGAGCCCAGGGATGCCAAGGTAGTCCAATGTGTCACCCTGGCAAATAATTCAAAGAGAAAAATTAACATATTGAGCCAATGTCGGCAATCCTTGTGATATGCCTCCTAAACTAAAATTCCAAGCATATGTATAAAATTAACATATCTAGCCATACACCAAATTTGATAGTATATCAATTGTGATGTTCCTTAGGACCCTAATGTGCCCTTCACAAAACATGACTATGAGAATTTAATGACAACTCACAAAAAGACATGAGCTTAGAAAATAAAATGCATTTCCTAATACTACAATCAAACATAAAAAAATACTTTTATTTATCATCGAGAACCCAAATAGAAGCAAACCTACAACCTTCGCCAACAGGTCTGAATTAACACCATTCAGTACAATCAAGTAGATAAACCTAATAGATATGAATGTATTAACATGCACAAAGTCTAATCTCTAAAGTATTTGCTACTCAAGATGCACTTTTATCTCAAGCCAGTAGAATGGGTTGGAATATGACCCCTATTGCATATGTAACTGTTGCTTGAACAAAAAGATCATTAAAATTGCCCCACCAAAAGAATACCAAACATGAATACTCAGCCCAGCTGAATGATCCTAGCCATCCCACCATCCCATCCACGAAATCATCCCAAAGACAAATACTCAGCCCAGTCACAATTGATGCGACCAACTTGAGAATACCCAGGAAGGCACAGAAATTACACACTAATAATGAGAGGAAAAAAGTATGCTTCGTTCCCTTTTCTATCTATATATTTAATCATCTCAAGAGTGTCTCTGACAATAAAAATGATGTGGGAACCATGACTACTATCCTATGTTACGTGGATTGGGTCCAAGGACAAGGAGATGCGACAAATATTTATATTTCTTAATATTCTCCTTTTATTTTATAGGATAATATGGTGTTTACAAGGTAACAAAAAGCATTTCTTGCAAAATATGGAAAACTCAAATCGTTTTACATGCTTATTGGGTGACTGTTCTATTGATATATATATATATATCATGCCCTTACCCAAGTGTCAAGTGTCTTGACACATGTCACATTTAAAAGAGTCCATGTAACATAGCTGGCATCTAAAAACCCAGAAGAGCTGGCAACCTTTCACATATCATGATAAAGCCATATATTGATGGTGAAGTAGGACTGCCCATAACAGTTGCTCAGCAGACTCATCTGAAGTATGTTAGCAAGACTGTCAGCACAAAAATATCTATTCCTCTCCCTAAAAACTAATTATTCAATACCCAAGAAAGAGACTTAAGACTTTACAGAAAACCTTTTTTAGAACAATCATATTTCCTAGAGAAAAACATATGGCTTGGTCTTAATTTCCTCATAAAAATGACTTAAACAAAACAACTATACTAAAGATTTGATTGCAAAGAATTGTGAAAGAAATGTTGCATCAAATTGCAATGTAGTTGAACGAAGCAGAAAAATGTTGCAAACTTAGAAACTCCATGACCAGAATATTTTTAAGATCATTAATTGTGAGGGAACAGAAGGTTAAAACCTTAAGCTTTGAATATCCAACTTTCCACCAGACCGGCTCAACAAAGTGAAAGGCTCCTACTAGGTCTAATAGTTCGGGAATCAGAGCACCAAGCGCTGCAAGCATGGCCCAGCGAGCATGCAGTATTTCAAAGCTGCAAAAAAACAAAGACAAAAGAGATCACTTGGCAGTTACAATTTAGGTAGAAGATATCGTTCACCATCACTAATGTATAATTTCAATATTCACCCTCAATCAAGCCTATCATAATCCTACTGCATTTTACAAACTATAAATAATGCCTGATCTAGGATCGAGTAAAAGCAAAGCATGGTAACATCAGCTTCTCTCCACAGTAATACATTCATGTCACAAAATTCTAATAATTGATTAGGATATTTGGTTAGCCATTGTTTGAAACAAACAACGGTTACTATTTCATTGCTCATGTAAGACCTCCCAGATGATAGCCACACTAAGTCTGCACTGCAAACTCTATGCCACTGTTCAAACTTTAATGTTAGGAAATCTGCATTCATGTCCATAAACTGCCTCTGTTGGCCAAACATTAACTACACATAGCCACATAAAAATTAAAATTAAAATTAAAATTAAAAAATTTGTTGTGCCAAGAGACAAACATTAAGAAAAAATGATACATACTTGAAATATTTCTGGAAAGCCACAGGATCCCTGCTTAAACCTGCAATATCAAAGCCGTAGTCCCCTGGTAGTTCTCCAGTCAGATATGAAGGATAGTCATATGAAATTGGACCAAGCCAACGGGGACGCTTCTCTCCATACCATAAACTGCGAAATTCAGATAATTTATCATAGTACATAAATAAATAAATAAAAACAACATCAAGGTACCAAATAATAAAATTGACTATTGGGTTATGTATTGCTTACATGCTAGGTAGTTAAATGTTGGGGGGAAATGTATATAATATATAATTGCCTATTTCAATTAGATGCAAACTAAAGACAACTCACATTTACTTTAGAAATATAGCTCATTTTATCATTTCTCTGAAAAAAAATGTGTTTAACATCTGGGGAAAATCTATATAATTGCTTACTTCAATTAGATGCATCAAACATGGCAATAGTGCAATAACATTTAGACAAGAACAAGAAGTACTGCACTGGCTATTTAACGTCCAAGAATGGATCATTCAAGTATTGAGGACAGTAGCTAAATCTGACTTTAGGACATTGCAAATTACAGAATCTCGATCAATAAGTTCTTCCACTGCTCTATTTTGTTTGGTTTCCATTATTTTCTTAAATTTCATTCTTCTTCTCATTAAGTTCTAGTACTTTATTTTCAGTTCATTAATTTTACCTGTTACTTGGAAGTTTTTTTCTTTAAAAAATATATGTGCATATATATTCCAACAACTATCACCCAAAATTAAAGAAAAATAAATAAACAAATGTAAGGATATATGTATTGTGGAAAATCACAAAAGCAATGTGTTCACATAACTAGAAGAAACAACACCCAAGTCTACAAAAAGCCCATATAGCGAGCCCCTTCAACTCAAATTTTCAAATCCACCAAATAGAAATGCACAAAACTCACAATCCTTCTTTCCAAAATAAATATTGTTCCATGAGGATCACCCATGAGTTCCAGAGCAATAATGCATCGAGATCCATGGCAAATGAAATCCGCCACCACTCGCCAGGCACTTCAAGTTCTTTTCAAATCCACCAAATAGAAATGCACAAAACTCACAATCCTTCTTTCCAAAATAAATATTGTTCAATGAGGATCACCCATGAGTTCCAGAGCAATAATGCATCAAGATCCATGGTAAATGAAATCCGCCACCACACGCCAGGCACTTCAAGTTCCATATATTTCATGTCTAAATTCATATATCATTTTGAAAAAAATACATATATATATATATAAGCACATAAGAAAAAAAATTAACAATGTCTGGACTCAAGAAAATTAGTCTGGTCACTTATGGTGGATACAAACAAGCCAAAATCTCAACAACCCAGCGTCCCATGTTAAGCTTGCAGTATAAAAACAAATAAATAAATAACACAATAATACCAATAATAATAATAATGTGATGTGACGAAATTAGTACCTATCCTTTCTAGCCATTTGAGCAAGTGCCTTGAAATTGGAAGAATTATCGATGGCATCCTTCTTTTTCTCTTCCAATCGCCTCTGAAGCAACTCTCCCAGGGGACTGTTGGCTATAGCTTTCACCGCCGTGAAAGGAACCGCCGAGAATATTAAGACACCCACAAGCTTCACAGATAGATAACAACCCACAAAATAAAATAAAAAAATAAGCGGGAAAAAAATTACAGACGAAAAGTTAATAGTAATCCAACAAACTAGTAGTAATAAAAATGCGAAAATTTTAGAGAGAGTAAACAAAAAAAAGAAAAAAAAAAAAGGGTTTGAATCTGGGTAAACATTGGCGAGACCTCTTGCCATGAAGCTTTGCAGGCACGATAAGGTTTGGCGAGGGGTTGGGAATTTGTATAAATATTGAGTGACTTAGGGGCTGCGCCTTTCGATAGGAGGCCGCTACTGAGAAAAGATCGAAAGAAAGTAGAAGATGACGACGAAATTGAAGATTGCTGAAGCATAGCCATATCTCTCTCTCTCTCTCTCTCTCTCTCTCTCTCTCTCTCTCTCTATATATATATATAGTTTCAAATCAGTTGCTCTGCTTGCTACTCTCTCCGGTCTTCACAGCCACGAACCCTCCCTCCCCCCCTCCTGCTACGGCTTGTATTGTATTGTATTGTATGGGCCGAGTTATTTCTATCAAACTGGCGTGGTTTCAAAACAATGAATCAATCCCGTATCTCATCCTAAAATCCCACCAGAAATTATCCTATCCTATGCGTCGGGGAGACCAAGTGTAGGTCATGTCATTTTTTTATTTTTATAGTCATATATTCATTCAATTGGATTATGGCATTTTTTTAATTTTTAACGCTATGAAATTCTTATTTCGTCATTGGTTGGATACATTATCAATGTCAAATTTTCAGGAGATATAACAATTACTCCACCCACAACTGCATTAATATGTTTGAAAACCTCAATTTTCAATACATTTTTGAATTCTTGTGAATTTATTAATTTTTTAAAATATTTTTTTATAGATATTTTACTTTTTATTACATCTAGGATAGGTGCATTTAAAAAGTAAAAAAATTACTTAAAAATTAAAAAAAATTCCCTAAAAACAAAAAAATAAGAAAAATAAAAGCAAAATTTTCAAAAAAATTAAATTCAGAAAGTTTGAATTAAACATGGTAATTTTTTTAAATTGTATTTTAAAGAACACACATTATTTAAATTTTAAAACATAACTTTATCAATTAAATTGTATTTAAGAAATAAGTTCATAAAAATTCACATGCAAAGACTAAAGTTTCAAACTAACTTGGGTTTGATAAATAATTCCCTATGACTTGCATTTAAAAAGTAAAAAAAATATTTAAAAATTAAAAAAAATTCCCTAAAAACAAAAAAATAAGAAAAATAAAAGCAAAATTTTCAAAAAAATTAAATTCAAAAAGTTAGAATTAAACATGGTAATTTTTTTAAATTGTATTTTAAAGAACACACATTATTTAAATTTTAAAACATAACTTCATCAATTAAATTGTATTTGAGAAATAAGTTCATAAAAATTCACATGTAAAAAATAAGTTTCAAACTAACTTGGGTTTGATAAATAATTCCCTATGACTTGTATAAAAATTAAAAATAACTATAAGATATTTCTTATATTCGCCACCCCTATTCCATCCTCCATCCTTTTTAGCTACCACTATTATTACCTCGAGTCCCCAAGGATTCAGGGGTACTGCTGCGCCCAACTCGCAGTAGTTACTGCTGTGAGTTGAAACGGCGTCGTTTCGACATTAAATAAAAAATAAAAAAAATTGAAACGGCTACTCAGAGGGTTTGAACCCAGGCCGCCTGGGGTGCAAAACACACCTCAACCATTGTGCTACTCAAACATCCTAAGTATTATGGACATATATTATATTTATTACAATCTTTGTTCCAACATAAAAAAAAATTTACAACCTGTTATAAGTAAAATACAAAAAAACAATTGAAGCAAAAAAACGTGAGTTTGTGAGCGGGAAGGGTTTGGGTCTACCATCTCTCCACCATTACTCCGTCGTTCCTCCATCGTGCCTCCACCGTTTGCTCCGACGTTCCTCCGACGATCCTCCGCCATTGTTGTACCGTAGCTCCACTATCACCATTGTCATTGAGGTTGCTTATTTACCTGGTAAGAATCTTTTGTATATATATGTATATATATAAGCAATCTGTTATATATTGAGGTTGAAAAAAAATCTTTTGTATATATATTGAGGTTTGTATACAATCTGTTATCTTCTCCTAAAACACCCTTGATATTGAGGTTTGTATACAATCTGTTAAGAATATTTTGAATATATATATATATATTGTATTTATTACAATCTATTATGTGTATATATATATGGTGATTTATTTTCATATCAAATAGAGATTGTGTTTTGAATTGGGGATTTTAATATAATATTATAGGATTCTGATATGTGTATGAATATGGTGATTTGTATCAAATTAATGCTCTGTTATTGTAAGAATGTGTTATTGTGGTTTGGATTAGGGATTGATGCTCTGTTAAATTAACTTCACAATTTGATATGTTTAAGAATCTGTTATTGTATATGGTGATTTCACGTAATGTAAGTTAAAAAAAATTATGATCTTTTTTAATCCAAATTGATGCTCTGTTATGAAATTGATGCTCTGTTATTATTAGAAATGAAGTTGTTGTATGAATAAGTAAACCTACACTTACATATGTTCATCACTTGATTTCTGGCTTGTTCATATATCATCCTGTTCTAGTGATGGATAAATGATGATCAATGTATCTCATTAATTGTGTTTTGTTGATTGATTATATGAGTAGGAATAATGTTCTTAATACAAGCATGTACGATTATTTATGGTGACTATAAATTCAAAATGGTATTTTTTTTAAGGCAATGTTTTAAAAATAGAAGATGGTGCACTTGAGAAGTTGGCCAACAATTCCATGCCATGTGTTGGAATGGAATTTGATTCGGAGGAAAGTGCATATGAATTCTACAATGAATATGGAAGGATTGTGGGATTTAGTATTAGAATAGATTACCATACTAAAAGTAAGAAAGATGGTATCATGATTAATAGGAAGTTTGTTTGTTGAAAAGAGGGAGAAAAGGAAAAAGATAAACGGTGCATAATAGTAAAGCATTCTCAACATGAGACAAGAACAAAATGCAATGCATTCATGTGTATATCTTTTAGACGGGACTTGTCAAAATGGGTTCTGATGAAGTTTGATGATAATCACAACCACCTTTTGCATATTCCTCAATGTACGCATATGATGCCATCTCAGAGAAAGTTGTGTGATGCTCAGGGTATAAATGTCGATGTAGCTGATAATATTGGTATATCACTTAAGGCATCACATGATCTTATTAGCGCTTTAGCAGGGGGGAAGGAATTTGTAGGGTTCACACGAGAGGACCAAAAAACCTACTTGCGTGCAAAGAGGCAACGAAACTTACAATATGGTGAAGCAGGAAGTTTGTTGAGATATTTTCAACAACAAGCCATTGAAAATCCATATTTTTACTTTGCATTTCAATTGGATGTTGATGAGATGATTACTAATATTTTTTGGGCTGATCATCAGATGATTACAGATTTTGGCATTTTCGGTGATGTTATGTCATTTGACACAACATTTCGAACAAACAAATAGTGCCGTCCACTTACTTTATTTACTGGATTTAACCACTTCAGAATGACTGTGATTTTTGGTGCTGCATTATTATATGATGAAACTACAGCATCATTTGAGTGGTTATTTGAAACTTTCTTGCATGCAATGTCAGGAAAAAAGCCTGATAGTTTTTTCACAGATCAAGATCAGGCAATGGCTAAGGCAATTTCTAAAATCATGCCCGAGGTATTTCATGGATTGTGCACTTTCACCTAATGCAAAATGCTTTGAAGCATTTAGGCTACTTATTCAAGGGTGGCTTAAAATTTGGTTGCGTTCAAAACTTGCATTTTTGGGTATGAGGATGAGCATAAGTTAGTTGAAGCTTGGGATTCTTTAATTCATAAATATAACTTGCAAGAGAACTTATGGATAAAGAAGACTTGGGAACTTAGAGAGAAGTGGGCGCATGTGTATATGAAGTTGGTATCTACTACAGGAATGCGAAACACTCCACTTAGTGAAAGCTTGAATGCAGAATTGAAGAGGCATTTAAAAGTTGACCATAACATTGTTCAATTTTTTACACACTTCAATCGAGTTGTTATGGATAAGCGGTATGAAGAAGTGAAAGCCATATACGATTCGAGACAACGATTGTCGAGAATAAAGTTGAAAATGTCTCCCATGTTAATTCAAGTTGCTAAGTTGTATACCCTTCCTATTTTTGACTTATTTCATAATGAGTTAGACACATCCCTTTGTTGTCAAGTGAAGCGATGTCATGGTTAGGAAGAGAAGTAACGTATGTGATTGGCTTATATGGAGAGGATAGAGAGTATATTGTGAAATGTAATGTGGAAGTTAATGAGTCGGAAGGAGACAATATTTGTCAAGAAATTCATTGCACTTGTCAAAAATTTGAGAGTTTTGGAATTTTATGTGGTCATGCAATTAAGGCGCTTGATAGAATAAATATTATGGAAATTCCTGAAAAGTATATATTTGGTTGATGGAGACTAGATGCGAAGGATTATGCAATTGAGGAAACAGTTACAGTGGTTGAGAATGACCCTAAGTTGATGATAGCAACACGCTACAGAGATCTTTGTCCTAGAATGGTAAAACTAGCAGCTCGATCATCTAAATACAAACCTGCCTATCAATTAGTTGATGAAACTCTTAAGGATTTGTGTACAAAGGTAGACAATATGATGACTTCATTAGACAGCTCAGGCGCTTCTAGTAGTAGAGGCAATATTGAAGTGGGTACCAAAGAATTTGTAGTTGATCCAAACTTTGCACGAGCTAAGGGCTTAAAAAAGAAAGAGGGCGGACACAAGGGTGGGAGTAGATTAAAACCTTGACATGAGAAGACTACTAAGAGAACAAAAATTGTTTCGCAACCTACCCGCCTTACTCAGGTATTGAATTTACCGAAGTACTTGATTTCAAATTGGCTAGATTTATTTTTAAATTTTGCAATGTACTGATAAATATTTTACAACCTCTTTAGAGTATTGGACAGTCAAGCGACACTAGAAATATTCAAAATTCATCTTCAAACCACACACCGGTGAGATCTTATTCTTTTTATTGAAATCATTTTACTTAAGTACATAATGATCATAAAATTACTAACAATATTTTATGGACTAGGATGTTGAGGTACCCTATTGGCCACAACTAATAAATTCCGGATATAATCTGCTCATGGATGATGTTAATTTTGCATGCCCGCCAACTTATCCACTATCAACGCCTTTGTCTTCCCATGCATCATACAATCCACAAAGTTCTCAAGTGTGTAATATACTTGTTTGCAATCTAGATTTTTGTTTTTACATATATGTGTGTATTTATTTCCAATGCATTTCCTTTTTCTTTTCTTTTTTTTTTTGCAGGGATTAGGATTTGATCTAGCAGAGCACAGTCCCATTGTGGCTGAGTCAGTATTTCGTAATGATAGTTTGTTTGATTTTTTCAGTCATTCGGAACCAACCCCGCAAAATTGAAATGTTAACATTTATCTAGCGGGTCACCCTTTTGCTTTATTTTTTAGCATCAAATTGTGCATATTGGATATGGATTCAAGGTTTATTTAAGGAGAAACCATTCACTGTGTTTGGTTTAAGTTTTCTGGATTAAGTTTTTTGAAAATTGACTTTTTTGGTTTTTGTGTTTTTTTGTTCTTAGTGAATATTTTTTAAATTTTAAACATTTTTTTTACTTTTTTAGATGCACCTTGCTTAGATGTATCTATAAAGTAAAAAATTTGTGAAAAAATATTTTAAAAAATTAATAAATACATAAAAATACAAAAAATGTACTGAATTTTTATATTTTTTTTGTATTTTTGGTATTTAGTGAATTTTTAAAAGATTTTTTTTACAATTTTTTTACTTTTTAGGTGTATTTATGTTAGGTGTGTCTAAAAGTAAAAAAAATTGCTTAAAATATTAAAAAAATTCAATAAAAACAAAAAAACACAAAAAATAAGAAAGTAGAATTTTCTGAAAAGTGTTTTGGAAAACTAGAAACCAATCAAGGTAATTGTTATTGTGTTTTATTTTATTTGTGTTTGATATGAATTCAAGGTTTATTTAAGGAGAAGCCACCACTGTTATTGTGTAGATTGGAAATTTTTTTTTTTGAAGATAGAAATGATTTTTTATTTTATTTTATAAGCTTTATGGTGGCTTTAGCTAATTGTAATTTTTTTTTTTTTAATGTTGGAATACAGATTGTAATAATAGTAGATTGTAACAGGTTGTTTTTTTGCTTCAATCGTTTTTTTTTTTGTATTTTACTTATAACAGGTTGTAAAAAAAAATTTATGTTGGAACAAAGATTGTAATAAATATAATATATGTCCATAATACTCATAGGATGTTTGAGTAGCACAGTGGTTGAGGCGTGTTTTGCACCCCGGGTGGCCTGGGTTCAAAACCTCTGAGCAGTCGTTTCAATTTTTTTTTGTTTTTATTTAATGCCGAAACGACGCCGTTTCAACTCACAACAGTGCTGTGAGTTGGGCGCAGCAGTACCCCCGAATCCAGTCCTCAATCTTTCCCTCTAACCTTTTCTATTATGGCCACCACTCATTACTTCTTATTTTACCCACCACATATGGTTCTTCATTTCACCGCCAAACAAAAATTCTCTATCCAAACTCTAACCATCATATCTACCCAAATTGCCTAACCCCTCCCCATATCAAAACTAATTTGATGCAAGTGTAATTTATGCATGGTTGTAATTGTAATGTGTCTTATGCAAGTGATATTTGTGCATAAGGGTTCAAGTGCAAACTCTATGATTTGTGCATAAATTATACTTGTACTATAGGCATATGCGACACTTGCTATAGCGATTTCAGTTTTGACCCGTTATCTATTGTATTCCGGACTTAAGTTGGTATGGTTTAGAATGGTTATTCATATCTTGATTCCTTTGTCTTCCCTTTATTTTCGTTATCGGGTTGTGATTGTGCGTTTGGAACAGGTTAGTTGTGTTGTATTTCAAAATCTGTGTTGCCCAGATTTTGGCTCTTGCGCTCGAGCGGGCATTCTTGCGCTTGAGCGGGCTTCACAAATTTGCTCCTCCACTCGAACGGGACTTGTCAACTCTTAGTATTTTTGCAGATCTGCAAATACTAGAAAAATGCATTGGGACGCTCGAACATCCATTCTCACGCTCGAGTGGGAACTTTTGTCTACAGAACTTCTAGAAGTGTACATTCCACATTCGAGCGTAACTTCTTATGCTCGAGCAGAACTTTGTGTCTAACGCTCGAGCGTCACTTTCCACGCACGAGCAGACTACGCGTATAACAGTCTAAGAAAATGATATTTTGAATCACTTTTTCATTTCTCTCTCTCTCTCTAAAACTTTCCAAAAACCTTGTTCTTGAGCCTTTCCCTCTTAAACTCACCTTCTCTTTTAGATTTCATCTAGATCCGTCGATATCTGCACTCTAGTGCTTTTGAGAAAAAGGTAGAGTGCATCAAGATCTACATTTTGATCTGAATAGAAGTGGGTTTCAGTGTTCTTGGAGTTTTTCGCTTGCGTGGCTCATCTTCTTCCTTTGGGGTAGGAATTTTTCTACACCTTCATATGTTATTTAGCTTAGATATTTGTCATTTGTGTAACAATGGTATGATTTGGGGAAGTTTTGAACAAACCTAGGATTTGGGTATAAAATGGAAAGACGGGTTTTGGTGAATAAGATGAAAATGATCGTAGGGTTTGAAAATGATGTTGTGTTGTGTCTAATTTGATGATTCTTGGCATTTGGTTAATGTTTGGGAAAAATGGGAGAGTTTGCCCTAAATAGACCAAGCTATTATTTTATATAAATAGTTGAAGTTAACATTGAAAATGTGAGATTGGAAGCGTATTGGTATGAATGGTTAGATTGGTTATGTATTTTCTCAATCTTTGGAAATTTTGAATAGATTATCTGTCATGAGATTAAATATCTGTTTAGAAATATCTGTATTGGGCTATCGGTAGAGGATAGCCATGATTGTTGTAGAAATTACATGCGAATTAGGTAAATTGAAACTAATCGCTTGTGGTTGTCATTGAATATGACTATCCTTATATGCATTGTATATGTATGATTCTTTGGGAGTAGAAAGGGGATGTGCTCCACTTATGATTACGTGTTTAAATACATTGCATATGTATAAATGATTGTTTGGGAGAAGAAAAGGGATGGACTTCATTATAATTAAGTTGGCTGGAGTGTCCTGGGTAAAAGTCCCGAAATTATACACAGGTGCCGATCTTGCGGACGAAATATCCGTAAAATGGCAATGGTAGTGCTTGTATAGCCTACGTTTACATGGGTCCCGTTTGACGATTTCTCACGGATGAAATATCCGTGAAAGGACAGTTTGAAGTGTTTGTATGTTGATGATGTGATTGTTGAACCATTAAGTTGTAGTCTCATTTTGATTGTTAAAGAAATTATGAAATTAACTCATGAATTTAGATAAGTAAATGAATTGGAAGTGAATTGGAGAAAACTAGATTATGATTTGAAATTTGATGACTTTCAAGAATATAAATCGTGGATGTTTTATCATAGACATTGTATACACTCCTTGTACTTATACCTTTGCTAAATTTCATATACTGTGTTAGATGATTCCTACTGGGCTGTGGCTCACCCTACTTAGAAAATAATTTTTCTGGTGTTGGTGACATGCCTTCGCCAAGGCAATAGCTTAGAGGGACTATTGGAAGCAAGAGCTTCTCTTTTTGTTATTTCTTTTGTAAAGCCAAGGACTCAAAATGTAATTAAGCGTGTTGTAACCAAGTCAAGGCTTGGAAAGGTGTAAGTCAATAGGGCATTTATCTACATTAAACGCTTTTGCATCATTAACTTCATGTAATGAAAGGACTATTTATTCTGAATTATGCGATTATTATTTATGCTTTGGGTTATATTTATTGTATGATTTTGAGGGCATCACAACTTGGTATCAGAACGTACCAGGTTTGAATACTTTTGGTATGTGGGAAGTAGCTAGTGCTATAATGGATTCGTCTCACTTGCTAAAGACTTAATTGTGAACGATATGTATTTATATGACAAAATGCTTATGTGATTATTTGGATATGAGATTAAATTTCTAGGATGTTGATTGGGTCTACAGGTTTCTAAGAGTCCTATTAAAAAGGCATTTGATCACTGTTGTTTCTAATTGGATCTCTAACAATGCCGCGGGACGGTCATTATCTAGAGATGAAATTCGTATGTGATTACGTGCTTATATGGAGTGATTTACAGTTGTCCATAGCTTTAGGACACGAGTGAGTTAATTTCGGCACAATTGTGAATGTGCTAATCCTTTTGTTACCTTTATTAAGATGTCAAGACGTGGTCGTGGTGGTAGGCGTGGTAGGCCTAGGAGGCACGAAGTGCCTATACCGGATGAAATTTCGGCACAGGAGGAGGGAGTTGGTCAGGCCAATGCGGCCGAGCCAATAGATCAACATGCCATAGATGCCTTAGCTCTAAGATGACCAGAGCCTTGCGAGAATCTATAGACATTCTCAGAGCTGAGAATCAAGTCCAGACCCAAATAGCTGAAGCAGGGCCGTCTTTTTCTGAAGAGGGAGTTCTTCCAGTCGAATCCGGACGAGTTTTTGGATGACCAAAAGGAGCCACTGAAGGCAAACGAATGGCTTGAACAGATAGTGAAGACTTCGAGATGCTGGGCATCGAGGACGATCGATTGAGGGTGACCTTGGTGTCTTTCCAGTTGAAGGGGGATGCGGGTTAGTGGTGGAAGTAGGCGCGTGGGCGCATTGGGGTGACTTGGGAGGCCTTTGTCAGTGCTTTCCAGGACAAGTT